TTTAAGTTAACAAATTCCGCGAGCTATTTCCAATTACACACTTAATTTCCCATTTCGCTTTCCCCGCTGCCCTGTAGCGCGTCCACATCTCACAGAGACGACTGTTCTCTAGCGCTTTTCATTTTATTGATTGCGCTGAGGCATAGCTAAGTGCTTGGTAAATCTAAGTTCATTAAGAGACCGTCTTTTTCGCAGGCGCAGGGAGGCGTTTTCCACACACAGCTGATCAGAGGTGCCGAACGCTGAACAGAAACCAGGTCTCAACTCTGGTGATGCAGTGTAATTAACTGTATCCTGACAAATTTAATTTGCCCATTTTGTATGCATGCTAATTAAAAAAACAAATACTCTAGAAATTAAATTAGGCCTCAGCATACAGCCAATATCACTAACACATCTTACCTAGACAGAAAGTTAGAAGTTGATTTACTGTGACTAATTTTTTGGCACTGACAGGCACATGTGAAGCTTGCAAGATTTAAGCCACCTTTCAGTACATCACATCGCACATCTTTAGGAAAGCATAGTAGAATTACTTAAACTCCCTCAATTTCAGATTCAAAGTGGGCCAAAACCATCATTTTAGCAACCAAAAGTCTGTTTAATCACAACAAGTCAAGCTATACTGACAAGCTGTAGTTGCTTATAATGAAGAATCTTACACAGCTCTCCCTTTTCCACAAATTTACCAGCAGGTTTAGTTTCTAAAGAGATCAGTCATCCCAAAACACAAAATTAAGTCGGCCTCTTAACAAAATCTGATCTGTGAATCCAAATACAGTAAAATATTTCAACTTGATAGAGGCAAGCATAGTTTCTGGCTTGTTAATTGTATTAACAGTGTTAATACAAATTAGAACTCCAATACCTTTTTTTTTAAAGACAAGATCAAAGACAAATGATTTCTCACATCACCACATTAAAAGCACTTATCATTTACATAGAAATAGCTTGTTTAGAAAAAGAGAAAAGATTCTGCTAATCGTTGCCTCAATATGACAAAGGCAATTCTTGGTTTCAGGCAATGCCGATTATTAAATATTCCTAAAGATGTACATAGTGCTTTTCCCCATCATATCTTTCTATCATGAAAACATCTGGTAATACAGGCTCAGAGTATTGCAATAACCAGATTTTATTTTTTACATATGAAAATTTAATAAACAGAAAATCTACATGTCTTTTGGATTCCCTTATCTGCTTTTATATCAAACCTTATTTTCAATGTGACAGTGTTCCAGTGAAACACAGCAAGCTTCACTAGATCAGCGATAGCTGTTTGGTTACAGACAGAAATCAAAATCCAGGATTTGGACTGAAGATAGTCTTTTTAAATGAAAATCAATCTACCAGAATAAATCTTATTGTGTAATCGCTTTCAGTATTCCGCGGAGAACTTTGTAACTCATTAATTGTTGGCTTTCTTTGGGAGGAAAACAGGGTCCACGTTCTGTCACGTATGCGTAAGGAAATCTAAGCACCCACAGTCCATCAGATGGCAGGGTTATTTCCTGCTTCTCAGGGTAAAATACAGGACAAGGCGGTGGCCCTGGTTGAACCTGAAAACAGAAGGAAGTATAAGTAGGTAATCAACCATCATTAGAATTTAAAGAAAAAAAAACAACAACTTAAGAGCAAACTGAATCCAAGGAAGTCTATGAAGTCTTGCCTACAACCAGGTTCTTACCCACTTTAGCACACTCTGGGAAACCACTGCACTGTTACTGTGAGACATCCATAAATTTCCAGTTTTATCACAGGGAAGATGCTGAATTTAAGGCTGCAGATTAGTTCCCGCACCAGGGAGATCCACAGTACAAACACAAGCCATTCGCCTCTCGGGCAGTAGTAAACACTGTGTTAATCACAGATTTCAACACTGTAGTACAGATATCCCCGAGCTGTTACCTCACTCTAAACCGATGTGAATTTTCAAGGATTGCAGCAATATTTAATATATACATAGTTTGTATTAAAAGATTTAGAAAGTCTTATTCACGTGAGGAACTGATGCAGGAACCCACAACACAAAGCATAATGGATTTTCCAAATAAAAACACACCCTGAGCAGTCAAAAGCTGTGGTACAGATGTGAGCTAGGAACAAAGACCAAACTAAGTATCGGCACAAACTGAACCTTCAGTCCTTGCCTCAGTTTCAAATACCACCACAATAAACTGCAAACCGCACTGAAATTTTGGTGTTGGCATCAGGTTTCAGTCAATATTCTTTAATTTCTAAAGCAAAGCAGGTTCATATCTGAGCAGTTGAAGGTGTCCCATAAAAGAAGCTGACTCCGTTGTTTTGTGACTCAGTATGAAGGATCTCACAGCACTTCTCAAAACAGCTCAAAAGGTTACAAAACATCCCAAATCTGCCTCCCCGCCAACTCACATGGATATGTTTCGTGCTGACTGTTGTTATTCAGTGACACTACTATACAATGAACAGCAATTGTATTGCCATAGTCTAACAAATAATAAGCACTTATGTGCACATGGTATTTCATATAGCAGCAACTGAAGGAAGATACACTTGTTCATATCTTACTAACTTAAAAGTAAGAAAGTGTAAATGAAGCTTTTTCTCCATTTTTTTAAATACACATTTGAAAACGGGGAAAAAAAATCTCCCATTAAAAAAAGCCAACACCTTTTCACCTCTTAAATTCAAAGGGTAACTAATAATAACTAATCTCAGTAATGAGTCACTGCTTTTCTCTATGACATTTAAAACCTTCACTCTTACGCAGTCATTACTCACTTGTTATTTTTCTAAAAAGAAGCCATTCTTACAGTACAGAATGCTATTAACTCATCCTTGATAAAATGCTTTTTAAAACTTACTTTATACAAAATATAAAGCTGGCATAAGCCAATCTTGAAGTTTAAAAAAAGCCAACTGTTTATAAAAACAGCTACTCTTTGTGACTACTGCCTTAGAGAACTTGACCAAAGTTGGTTTGAGTTGGAGAGCGTTTCCTGTACCATCCCTCTGACACCCTTTGCCCATCACCCTTGTGCCTCCAGGTCCTGCAATTAATGTCTTTCTCTGCAGTTACCGGATTCCCTCTTCCGTTCCTTACCTGAGGCGTTAATGTGATCTGCAGCGGAGCATCAGGAACCACCACAAAGAGTCTCATGAACTGAGCGTAATGGGGCTTGAGTCCTCGTCCCTGCGTCGACGACAGGATGTACAGCGGCATGTCAGAATTGAGGGCTTTGATGGCAGATTCCTTTGGGCCCCCTCCCATCACTTTCATGACTTTATCAGGCCCCGAACACATGAACCTCCTACCACGTGCGTCTTCGTATTCAAATCCTACAAAAGCTCGAGCTATGTCATCTCTCCGTCTTCCTCTTCCCATCACAACCGCACTTCTTTTTCCAGGAACAGCCTTGTTCGGCGCAGGCCAGGAATTGGTATCCAAGTCTCCTTCATCTTCAGTTCTCGTCCTGATGACAATGTCCCAAGGCATTAAGTAGTTTGTTCCTGGGATAAAGCCTTGTTGGTCTAAGCCTGTGTGGAAGTTGTAAGCCTTAGCAGGCCCCAGCTTAACCAGCGACCAACTGGAGAATTTGGGCAAAAGCCCTTTGGGGCAATTAGAATGGAGCATGCCAGGGAGGTACTCCACAGTGGATGCCTGGCGATCTACCAGGCTTGGCCTTTTCTCACTTTTGGAGTCCCCACTCTGCCCGTGACTTTCTGCATTGTCCCCTCCGCCCTGGGCGTCAGGCGGGTAAGCGCCCAAGCTGCCCGTCGACTGACCCAGGCTGAGGGCTAAGCTCAGGCCTGTGCTTTCTCCCTGAGTCTGAGGTTCTTTTTCTTTCAGTTTCTCAATCTCGCCGTCCGGAGGGGCAGGCGATGACTCATCCCGAGCAGGTGCCGGATCAGGTGTGCTTGGCTGAAATATGGGAAAGTTGATGTGCTCCAGTTTCCCACAGCATTTTTCTTCCAGCAGCTATGAGAAAGAAGATGTGGTTAACTTTCCATCTCCCCTCTCTGGGATGAGGGAGTTCAGAGTCATAACATTCAGCAGCTACAATTAAGAGTCAAGAGGTTTGCGCTATGTGAGAACCAAAGCAGCGATGGGAATACAGCCCACAGACATGATGGATTTAAAATTCACATGAACCAACACACTTGAAGTGTAAATAGATGTGCCTGTGTGCATGCACAGGTGGAGACTGGAACTGCCCACTCTGGTCAGCCCATCACGCAAACCATTTCTGCTCCCAGAAATACCTCCCCCAACCAACATTTACAAGTTGATAAGGTTAAGAGAAAATTGAATTGTAGTCACTTCAGAATACAGACTTTGTTGATGAAGCAAAAGCACTGCTTGAAGCAAAAAATAGAGACCCAATAGTTACCTGGTAAAAGTCATAATTAGCTGCTTTGATATCAAAGGGATCATCCCGAGGAGCTTGTTTTCTCCCACAGTTACAGGCACCAGTGGAACGAGCCCGGCTGTTGTGGTACAGGACTGGAGGATTTCTGTCTGCTTCCGGCTTTTCCCCTAAAAGCAAAATCAATTAAACCCTAGACAAATTGCTCTCCATTTCTAGAGAGTCTCTAATTCCCTTCATCCACTGCTTCCTCCCTGCTATATACACATGCAAA